GGGGGGGGGGGGGGGGAGGAGGATAAAACTGCATTCCAAAGCCCGTTTCGAGAGCTGCTGATATTACGACAACTTGACAAGTACTTTTGACAGCACAGATAGTTTTGCCAGGTAGCATACTCACTGCCCTGTGTGCCTTTTGAGAATGCTTGTGCACCTCAAAAAAGGTGTCTTCAATGCAGCTGTATACCCCACCTTCCTTTGACGATCCTTGGGGGTGCACTGCTTTTCTCTTCTTCAGTGAAAGCAAGAAGTGCTGGACACAAAAGCAAGACACAAAGAAGTGGGCGTCCGGTCTCCGTCTGCATTTGGTATTCTGTTTGTTTTGTTCGGTATTTTGTCGAGTATGGTGTGTCTGTCTGGAAAGAATTCGCTCCAAAGTGTTGTAAGAGAGTGACCACACAGATCCTGGGACCTTCTACCTGATGTTTGTTTTTTCTTGAGAAAAGTAGGGCGCAGTCATGGTTTTCAGTTTTAAGTGCGTTTCAGTTTGTGATTTCGCGAATTTTGCTCCTAAGCGACGAAAATTGTGAATGTATACAATGCAGCTTTAGGTTTGGTTGGGGATGTGCTGTATTCGGTGATTGCCTGAACTGCATTTAAACCAGCAGTACACGCCCCCAGCCTTGCAGAAAAGTAAACTTGTCGCCACAAGAGAAATTCGAGGCTCGGGGAAGGCCCAGTAGTGTGCCGGGGGAGGAAGAGGTGGGCCCAGCAGAAAAAGGCAAATGGACTGTTGTTTTGCCCGCTGGTACACGTTCAGTCTGTGACTGTGAAAACACATGCACGGACGAGGCCCAGCTATAGCCAAGAAAAAACAAATAAAAACTGAAACAAAAGGATCAGAGTGGCAAAACGCCCGCCACATGGCGGGCATGCACTATAAGAGGGAAGAAAGCCCTCAAACTTCAGGAAAAAGGGCAGAAACGCCCGCTGTAGGCAAGTATGCAGTGATTCACAGGTTATGTATCCGCGCCCATTCTGTGTCTGCATACGGGCGCAGAAAAGTAAAGTGCTCCTGCCTCGTTGGCACCGAAAAGAAAGGAAACGGAAAAAAAAAAGAACTTGTTTTTTTTCGAGTGCCTGCCCGAGGAGAACGGGCAGTGCTGTGGGAATCCATGTGTGTATATCTGGCTCACAAAGTGCGCACTATGAATCTCATGTGGACCATGTGGCAGCAAAGCTGTCAGAGGACAAACGAGGTGCCATAAGATCTTGCAGACAATCTCGTGTCGTAAGGTCCTCTGCTTTATTTTGTTTTCAGCTGTATGGGAAAATTATATACTACTGCCCACTCGTGTTGTGAACAGGCAGCCATTCATGATGAGGCGCCTGTATCGGGCACCCGATATGTGCTACATGCGGGTGCTCTCTCCTGTGGGTGTTTGGCTGGGTGTCAAAGGAGTGAAAACAGCGGCCTCCTTTTGATTCCATCGCCTGACAGCAGGTCCAGCACAGAGGCCGGTACAGGTACCACCCCAATTTTCCATGAGCTGGTGCCCATGGCTTTCAGGCTCGGCAAAATTCAAAATTTAGGCTCGTACATTTAGGGTCAGGTGTACTTACTGGTGGTTTAAAACTAAAAACGCGACTGCCCCCTAGTTACCCATTTGTTCTTTTACCTTCTTTTTTCTGTTCTGTTGGAGCTCTGTGAGCAGAATAGAGAGCAAGACTGCTTTTGCAGACAGGTTTGTGGGCATATCCTGCTCAACCACACTGATGCTGAGAACCTTGTACTTGATGAACATCGGGCATCGGCAGTGTATACTTTCCCGTAATAGCCTAGGCATTTAGCATTCCGCGACAGCCCACCCACCCACCCAACTAACCACCCACCCCACCATCCTGCCTGTTCGCGCTGATGGCTCCTATCTGTGGCTCTTCCCCTTTTAGTGTCGTAAACTGCAGACGGAGTATGGTCCCTGCGGTTGTTTGGGCGGGGAGGGTTCCATGCTAATCACAGCATGGACTGCTGTGCCATGAATCCCGGTCGTCTATGCCAGGAAATCTCACAGTCGGTGCCAAAGTTACGCTGCAGCGGAAAGGGTGTGTGCGCTGCACTTTGAAATGTTTCGAGCATTTGCGTGTTGTCAAAACCCTCGAGAACGCTCAAGCACTTTGTGCTCCTCACTGTGCTAAAAGATTTGCTGCAACACAAGCCATGTGTGTGTGTGTGTGTGTGTGTGTGTGCGCACACTTTTTTTTTTTTCGATTTTTTTCCTTGTCTTTGTCTTCTCTCCGTTTTTATTTTTATTTTTTCGGGGCCAGGGGGTGCTAGCGCCCCTAACGGACTCCCTAGGACCCCTTCTCCGGCGCATTGTCCTTTGACCTCCCGGGACTCTGGGGGCTCAACCGTGGAATTGAACACCGCGTTCACATGCGTTTATTGAACGTGGGAAACGCTCAACCGTGGAATTGAACACCGCGTTCACATGCGTTTATTGAACGTGGGAAACGCGCGTTCAATGAACGCTATGTTTCATAGCGTTAGCTGCCCCTATGCTGCTGAGACATGTGAAAAGAGCAGTCCTTCCTCCAAAATAAGCTTTGGAGGTAGTCCCAGCCATTGTTGTGATCTGCACCTTTGTTGAATTGGGGTATGGTGTCCCAGCCATTGATGTGCTCCTTCGTTGAGGTGGGTTATGTTGTCCCAATCTGAGAAAGGCAGTTTTGGGTGGTGTTGCACTCCAATTCATCAAAGAGAGAGAGAGAGAGAGAGAGAGAGAGAGAGAGAGAGAGAGAGAGAGAGAGAGAGAGAGAGAGAGAGAGAGAGAGAGAGTCTTTTGTGCTAAGAAATGTCTGGTCTTTCAGGGGGAGCAGTCGTGCTCCTGCTGATGATATAAAAGAGAGTACATCGTTTTGAAAAAAAATGTTATATGTCTCGACTCTGCACAGGATTTCCAGCAACATGTGGGAACCCCCCCCGCCTCGCCCGAATGAATACACTGGAGCTGTCTGTCTCGAGCTGCACTTACCACATCCAGGATTGATGAATATGAAATGAAGGTCTTGCTAAATAAAAAAATAAAAAAAAGGAGAACAAGAATGGTGAAAAAGAAGAGAGAATTTGGGGAAAGACCATAAAATTACACATATTAGTAGTGACAATGGAATGCGGGAATGAGGATGATGATGATGCTAGAAAACCTTGATCGTTAATGACCCATCCAACAACGGATCGGACGGTTTTCTGACCGATGACCCATCCCATCCCATCCCATTTTAGTGCGATTTAGCAAATTGCTCTCTCTCTGCCTTTTATCTCCTAGCGTGCTTGCTTACGCTTGCACTTCTTTGGGTGGAAAGAGCGCATCTCTCTTCTGCGGTCGGAAAGAGGGCCTCTCCCTTCGGTGGGTGGAAAGAGAGGCTCTAGCTTCTGTGGGTGGAAATTTTAGGAGGGGCAGCGGACGAGGGGTGTGGAGGCCCTGAGCTTATGTCTTGCTTACTGCAGTAAGAGTCTTTTCGATCCTTGGCCGTGAAAGCGAAGTCGTGGAACATTTGAATGATTAAAAAAAGGAGTACTTGTTTAGGTTTTTATAGGGCCTCCCTCCACTACTCAACATTTGACAAGAATCTGGACTGGAACATAGAGCAGATACATTTAGACGCTTCAAACATTTCGAATGCATCGGACCTCTAACAGGTCCAGATACATTTTGTATGCTGTGTTGTGGACGGAGGCCAATACTCTGCATTAAAGGGCATTTGCCATTTTTGGGGTTTTATCAGTGGAAGAATTCCCAGCACGAGCATGCGCTCAGATCCCTTTTTTGGTTCAGTTGTTAGGACCTGCCAAACAGGGACTGAGACACACAGCTGATTTCTGTGTTTTGCCCATTTGCTGAGTTTCCTGCTCGTTGCTGAGTTTTCCATGGCTGTGTGTGTGCATGCTTACTGGTGTGCATGCCTGTCTGAGTGCTTGTAGGCTTGAGTGTGTGTGTGGCCCGCAAGGGCACTTGTTCGTTTGGAGGGCCCGAAGGGCCGGTACTTACCTGTGGCCGTGGCATTGAGGATTGCAGCGGGGAAAACAAACAAGTGGCGGGGAAAGAGGCCCACGACGCTTAGAGGAGCAGAAAAAAACTCAAGTAGCAGGTAGGCCGGTACCACACGAAGTAGAGGTAGATGTGCCGAGTACTCTAGGCCGATCAGAACAAGACAAAAGTTGGCATTGTTACAGGCCCAGTAGTTGCAGGCTAGGTCTAGGCGGGTACCAGTCCAACCAGTCTGACTCTAGGGCCTGTACAGGCAATATCAGAGTCTGCAATGATGTTTCCCTCCGAAAGGGAGGAGGTACCGGTTGCTTGGAGGCCGCGCGGCCGAGGAAGTCACCACCCAAGAGGCAAGCAGGCCGCTGTATCTCCAGGAGGAGCGAAGTGCTCCTCCTCATTCTTCGGTGTGCAAGTTTGGCGACACACTGCTTGGAGTGCTGGCCGGAGCAACGCTGGCTGAGCAGCACTGCTGGGAAGGACCGAGCGCCCAGCTCTCCACCGCGGCTATGGTGGAGGAGCATGGGCTGGAGGAGGAAGACGAGGACTAGGATGAGGGAGGGCGCCAGAGGTACTTACCTGGCTATGGTGGATGCCATCTTCATCACCTTGGTGGGTGCTGCATCTGGAAGGCCCCAGTTGGGGTAGAACTACACCAAGAAGCTTCGAGGCAGGGTCAGGCATGGCGGCCTGAGCTAGAGCACCCACAGCTGCTTTGTGTTGTCCTTGGCACAGCAGGGCAAGGCCCTGGTAGTCCCCCATAGCCTCGGCCTCCAGGAAGAGGAAGGAGAAAGTTGGCCGTGGCTATGGTGGACCTCATCTTGTACCTGCAGTAGAAGAGAGATTCGGACATTGACTCTGGTTCAGCCATTCAACATTATTATGATTATTATTTGTTCTGAATAAAGAGGGGAGGAGAAAAGGAGGAGGAGAGTGGTTGGCGAAGAAGAAAGGAATTATGGTTGGTCTTTCCTGGTGTACATCTTCTTTCTTTCTTTCTTTCTTTCTTTCTTCTTCTTCTTCTTCTTCTTCTTCTTCTTCTTCTTCTTCTTCTTCAAGTGCATTCATTTCTTTGCAATTGGCGGCATTGTGTTTTCTCATGAATTTGTACTGCGAAATTGGCCAGGATCATAACACAGTCTTTTCTCCCCTTTTTGACTTTGACTTGGGTTTATGGAGGGAGGAGGCTGATGAAGAGAGGAGGCTGATGATCCCTGATGTGGGTTGTATTGGGTATCCATTTGTGAAAACGTGGCCAGTTCATATTCCTTACGGGTAAATTGCTATCTGTTATGGATGGATTTGTCTTTTGTGGATGTTGATGAAAGTCAGTGAAGGCAAGGCAATGAGGAGCAGGTCAGAATGATCGAGCAATTGAACAGCAGTCGTGGGCTTATTATAAACAAACCTCGTCAATCGCTGGGACTCTTTATGTTTTTTTGCACCCTGCTAAAGTGCAATCAATGCTTCAGTGGAGGAGGGATTATCCACCAATCTACCCATGCCTCTTTAGGGTGTGTTGCATTTAGGTAACACGCACCTGTGTGTGTGTGTGTGTGTGTGTGTGTGTGTGTTGTTGGGGGGGGRGGGGAGGKGGGGGGGAGGGGTCTAAATGTTGTTCCGTTGTACAGGATTTGAACGGTCGACTTTGTTGTTTGATAGTTGTTGATGCCCACCATTCGCTGACAAGATGGCGGTGTTTAGGTAGTTCTTTGCACAAAGACCTTAGCACTGTCATGTCTGGATGGACAATCTTGCCTAGCTCTTAAGAAGGGGAGGAACAATAACAACGAAGACGTTTGTGATGGATGCAACTCAAGACAAGAGTTGGCAGCAGTTTAAGACAAGGTTGAGTACCAATTCAACAGCGAATAGTCTGAAGAGCGTGTTCTGGTTCTGTACTGGTTATAAGACCAGAGATTTACCAACTGTCTTCCCCCAAACACAACGCATCTTCATTCTCGCTGCCCCAGACCAGAAAAAGATTAGCTTGTATGAATTTTTTCGTTATCAGGGTGGGTTGTGTTCGGGGGACGGCAGTAGTATTTAGTTAAGCAAAGGTTTGCCACCCTGTCAGGAATTGGACTTTGAGCTTGACCTTAGTTCTTGCGGCTCTGTCTCAGTGAAGAACTTAGCAATAGGTTTAGTAGTACCATACGATGATCTTAGCACTGCTGGCTTTTAGGTGCAGCTAAGAAGTTTTAGCAAAGTGCTTAGTCACGGAGCGGACTTTGGGCCCGATCTTAGAACTTGGGGCCTAGTGTATCAGCTAAAGAATTTAGCAACAGGCTTTTTCAGTTGGACCAGGGAGGAACCAGACTTTGGGCTTGACCTTAGCATTCACTATTTATTATTATGAACTATATGAATAGGGAGGAGCAATAGGCTTTGCAATAGGCATAGTAGTACCGTGATCTTTGCACTGCTGGCTGAGACGCAACCAAGAACTTGACAAAATGCTTAAGTCAGGAAGCAGACTTTGAGCTCAATCTTGGCAGTAGGGGCCTAATATCAGCTAAAGAATTTAGCAACAGCCTTCTTTTGAAGGGCCAGGCAGGAAACAGAATTTGGGCTTGACCTTAGCAATCTCTAATTATTGTTATGAACTAACTAGGAACTTGGGCTGCTATAGGCTTTGCAATAGGCTTAGTGGTACCAGCCGCGAAGCAGATGTTGGTTGGGCTCGATCTTAGCACTTGTGGGGTGGGTTAGGATCAGCTAAAGAACTCTTGCAATCAGGCTTAGTACCGGTCAGGAAGCAGACTTTGAGCTCAGAAGGTCGGACGAGGTGCGGCCTCACATAATATCTCGATGGCGCGCAAGTTGGGATCCCGCTCGGAATGGTTGCTGTCCATGCTGTGCAGGGGTATGGCTGAGGCCGTGCGATCTGCAGAGGTGGCAACCAGTGCTGCAAATGCATGCACGTCAAGGATGGCAAGAGCAGAGGAGCAGGAGCATCACGCGCAGCGTCAGCAGTGGCGACAGGAGGAGGCTGTGACCTGTCGGGCAGATGAAAGGGAGTGCTTACTGAAAGGGAAAGACTTCTTGAGCTCAAAGAAGATGTGGAGAGAAGAAGTCATCGCACAGCGCAACGTTGATAATGCCAGATGGTTGTGGCTTCGATCTGCCGAGAAGAATCGCAGAGATGTAGAGGAACGATCAGAACACCTACGCGGTGTCTCGGGATTGGCGGGAATCGTCACTAATTTTACAATGACCACACCTGTCGAGTTCCGCTTTGATCACTTGATCGTGCATTCTGGTCTGATCACCGCCTATGGCGGATCGACAGCCATCGTGTCGGCCATGATGACCCAGGCGGTCATTCTGTGTGTGTTCTTGTTGGGTTGCGTTCTTAAAGTTGGGAAGACGTACGTGAAGGAGGCCGAGGAGGAGGAGTTCATGGCGAATTGTTTAGCCTTCGTGGAGAATCAACGGACCCAAAGCGATGTGGATGACCATCTCCTCCATGCTGCAGAAGGAGTACTGCAGGCTGTCTCGCCTGGGACCAGGACGGGGACCACGGCGACAGGGGTACTACAGCCTGTCTCACCTGGGACCAGGACTGGGACCACCGTGAGAAGGGTACTACAGCCTGTCTTACCTGGGACGAGTAGGAGGAACACGGTGATGCCTCCTCTTCGCCCGGAAGCTGCAGTCATCGTCGGGCGACCCTGGGGCCCTAGATCTACGTTTGAGCGCTTTTGGAGCATGCGGCTCGAGGACCAATGGGAGTTGGCCTTTGCCTTGTTTGCGCTCGGCGTGTTCTTTTTCTTGTTTACCATATTGTTTATGTTTTGGATCAAGCTTCATGACTTACTCATGACATGCCTCCTCGTCTCCTTCGTCGTCCTGGCGGTGGCTATCCCTGCTTTCATCTACGCTTACTTTACCTGGGGCCCTTACTTGCTGTGGACCCCCAATTTTGACCAATCCTCCGCCCCTCCATCCCTTGAGGCACGGGGTTGTCTGCAGAGAGCAGGGCTTCCGTTTGCCTGGCACTTGCATTCGTCGCATCCTCCAGCGATTCCTGATCGCCCTGCTGTTCACATCGATGTTGCAGACGAGGCAATTAGCGACCCAGAGAGCTCGGTGGCAGGCTTCTCATCTGGTGCTTCCTCTTCCATCTCCCCTTAGGCCCGTGGCAGCAAGACATTCCAGATCTTTTCCCCCTCGCCCGCTCAATGGGATATCAGGTGGTATGAAATTGCGAAAGCTTGAATTGGCATTCAGCTGAACATCTCAATGAAGTTCAACGAACCTTTCAACTCTCCTCCGGCTGTTGTCAAAACTTGTGTGCAATCACAGCATGTATATATATCTAGGCAGCCAGCCCGGTCATCCGGGCCACTTTTTGGACGTGTGGGCGGCCTGTACAGACGCCTGGACCGGCTATACGTCCAAAAGCATGGTGTGGGCCCGGGGCGAAAATGCACCAGGCCTGAGGTAGGCTCACCGACCTCCCATGGTGTCTGGAGGGCAGGGCTGTTCAGCCAAACCTCGTGCTAGGTATTCAGAAGACCGGCATAATTTTGAAAAAAGAAAAATGGCCCGATGTGGGCTGTGGATCTGTGCGATCTGACTGCCCACGTTCGGCCTGAAGAAGCAGTCCGTGGCGGGAGAGGGGAGACAGCACTTTGTGTGTACAAATGAAGGTTTCCGTGATGCATGCTGTGTATGATCTGTCTCTTATACACATCTAGATGTGTATAAGAGACAGGTGTGTGTGTGTGTGTGTGTGTTTGTGTGCGTGCGTGCGTGCGTGCTTGTGTTTTGTCGTATTCGCTATACACTCATAAAAGCATGGCTGTGGCTGACTGTTTGGTCGGACTTTTATCGACTCATCAGGAGGTTGAACCTGGACAGACAGTCTGCCCAGGATTCATTTGACTGATGGATAAGGACTCACCACAGCGCCCAGAGCTAGCGATACCCACCCCTGAGAGAGAAAAGTGGTTGACTTTCTGTGTGTGTGTGTGTGTGTGTGTGTGTGTGTGTGTGTGTGTGCTTGTGCTTGTGTTAAATGTCATTACGTTTTCGCTGTCCTCTATGCTGTTTCGTTTCGCGCCCAAGGGGGCTCTCCCCTTACGGCTAATGGGCATCTATTTATAGATTGTTACATATCGACCCTAGAAGCGCGTTGGAGAAAAGAGACAGATGCTTCTCACACATGCGTCAAAGGATAATCATCACATCTCCCCATGCGCACTGGCATGGCCCCTGCGCACGGATGACACGCATCAATCGAGAAATGGCCCAAAAGAAAATGAGATAGAGAGTGCGCACGGATGACACGCATAAATCGAGAAATGACCCAGAAGAAAATTAGAGAGAGAGAGAGAGAGAGAGAGAGAGAGAGAGAGAGAGAGAGAGAGAGAGAGAGAGAGAGAGAGAGAGAGAGAGAGANTCTCTCTCTCTCTCTCTCTCTCTCTCTCTCTCTCTCTCTCTCTCTCTCTCTCTCTCTCTCTCTACATCTTCTCAAGTCGTGCTGGGTTTGCGGTGATTGTCTTTCTGTGATGTATCTTGCTTCTTCAGGTATAACGCAACCGGGCTAGAATAAGGATAACAGCAGAGGAGTGACCCACTGTCGAGGAGGGAGGAAGTCAGAGAAGATGGAGAGAAAGCCGTTACTCGGGGGGGAAGACGGGGATGGACCGAATCAGTATCTTCCCTATCCTAATCCGGGAACCGGTCAGAGCTTGTACCCGCCGTCGCCGGCCCCTCCATACCCGGGAATGGTTACATATGACCGGGGTATTTTGCCCGGCGGCTCACCACCTCCACAGCCAGTGTCAGGTATGCCCTTTGTTCCTGTGGTGGCAGACGATCATGTGTACATTGCGGACTGGACGCATGGGCTCTGCGACTGCCACACTGACATTCCCCTCTCTTTACTGACCTGTTTTTTCCCTTGCTTAACCTTCGGTCACAATGCATCGGCGATCAATGATGGTGCTGGGGGTTGTGCAACTCAGTCTGCGATTTGGTGCCTCCTCGAGTCCTTTACAGCACTTGGCTTCCTTTATTCCTGTGGCTACCGAACAAAGTTGCGCAACAAGTATAATCTTCCGGAAGAGCCGATGCCGGACATTCTCGTCCACTGTTGCTGCCTGCCTTGCGCTCTCTGTCAGGAGTACAAAGAAATAAGGTACCGTGCCACCGTCCGTGATGGAGGGTGGGGGACAGGGGTTTTGTACGATGCCCAGACGGCTGCTCCCAATCAACAAGCCATGGGATCAAACCCTTACTGATTCGCTGCCAATGCTATCCTATCTTCCTGAAGAGCCAATGCCGGACGTCCTTCGTTGTCTGTCAGTGTTCGCTGGCTGGCTTGCACCCTTCCTCCTCACGAGAAAAAAAGACGAACCGATCAGATCCGCGTAAAGAAGAAATGATCATCCTCCGTGTTAATGCGGAGGTCAGAGGTTTGCTGGGGGGTCTCAAAGGGCGGGTTCACTTTGGTATTGAATCGGTTGGTCGTACTCCACTGTCCATGGGCCTGCGGTGCTACAGTGAGGGATGTTGCAGCCGGTGCTAGTTGCTGCGTGTTGGTAAAAAGTGATACCCTGAGTGTTGCCTCCAAAGAATCGATTCTCACCAAGCGCAGCTGCTCCTCTTTGCGAATGAATTGTGATGAGAATGTGGACCAGATACTCTTCCGCTCTCTGTTGGAGTGAAGGACGCCATGGCGGTGGGTGGTTGTGCTGAAGCAGAGTGTCTTCTGCGCTGTCTATGTTTGGACTCGTTGGACTGAAGAGCGCCGTGCTGCTGCGGCTGCTGCTGCTGGTTTTAAACTCAGATCCTTTACCCATTTTTGGGAGATTCCTGTACCCATTTTTGGGAGGTTTGCTGGATGTTCTCCATGTATTTGCGCTTCTACACCATGGGCTTTGACATGTGCAGCAGTGGACTTCTTCATTCCTTTTGTTCAGCCTGCTGTCATCACCGTCCTCAAGGGCCTCTTTTTTTCCCCCAATGGGTTTCCGATTCACGGTCACTTTTGCCCTCTCCTTGATTTCCAGGTAGCTCACTTCGCCTCCAAAACGTTGTGTGTGTTTTCAGACGTCGGAATTCTTACGTAAATGCCCGGGCAAACGCTGTGCGGGGACTTCATGCACGGCTAGGTTCATCCGATATAGCTTTGCACATGTGAAGGTAGCTCAGGGCATACTCAGCATGTAGTTTTCGGACTGAATAAGCAGAGAAGCTGTCGAGTCGCAGTCTATCCAATGATGATGAGCAGTGAGTTAGAGGTAATTCTTACTTCGTGGTGGCCAATGTTTTTATGCTTGGAATTTTGTTCAGTCAAGGTTTCAGATTTTGCAGGTGAATGCATCGTGTAGGCTTTTTAGGACTAGATGCATGCAGGTGGAGGTTTAGAAGAAGAGGCAGAGATCCAGGTGTCGTTAGGATGGGCGGGCAAATATGGCTCTGTAGGGCTAGGAGAAAAGTAGGAGAGCACGCACGCACACACGCACGCACACACGCGCACACACACACACACACACACACACACACACACACACACACACGCTCCTGATGAGTCGGTAAAGTCCGACTAAACAGTCTGGCACATGTGTATAGCGAACATGACAACATACTGTTTACCGATCAGATCTTGTGGAGTAGCTGGGCAGACAGGAGGTGTGACATTGGATTGAATTTGAGTGGCTCCCTGTGGCCTCTGCGTACAGGTTGAAGGAGCAGTGGTGAGCAGAGGATAGATGAAACAGTGCAGTGACTTGGCGAAAGTGGGGGAACGAGCCGTCCGCAATAGGTGTTAAAACTACAAAAGAAGAAGAAGAAGTGGTTTGTGGGATGTCATGGTGGTGGGAACTCGCTGCTGTCCCAAGTTGGGCTGCAGATTATACAGGCTGTGTCTTTTGGCAGCCAGCATGTATGTGGCTGTTATGTTGACCAGGTTACGGTTACGACCTTGGGGGAGAGAGATCATCGTTGGTTGCAATGAGAGCCTCTAGCTGCCCCACGTGCAAGCTGTCACTGGCGGGTTGGGGAGTGGCAGCTGATGTCTATCGTGCTGATGCATGTGGTTGACGGTGTTCATTTTTGTGCTGCATTGGTCAGCTCAGAGTAGTCATGTGGTGCAGCAGGTGGCTCTTAATTAAGTGCACGCTGGTAATTTGCTACTCTATGGATGCCTATAGGGTGCCACGTGGCAGCCACCTCTTGTTTTGTTGGGGTGGGCCAGGTCGATGGTTAGGGTGTGTGGGAGTGCTCACCTTGCTCTCTTTCTCTCTTATTTGGGGGTTGGTCGGTGTGTGTGTGTGTGTGTGTGTGTGTGTGTGTGTGTGTGTGTGTGTGTGTGTGTGTGTGTGTGTGTGTGAGAGAGAGAGAGAGAGAGAGAGAGAGAGAGAGAGAGAGAGAGAAGGTCCATTCCTTTTGGAAAGCCTTTTGTTTTGGTTAAGTAAGACTGTAGGAGAGAGGAGCATTCTTATTCTGGATGATTCTCAACGGATTTGCTGGTGGGTGTGCATTTCTGTTTTGATTTTCGAAAGCAACGAGTTTAGAAGGCCGTCAGAGAGATCTTGGGTAGAGGAGGAAGGAGTTAGCTGAAAGGTACACAAAGGAAGGGGGTGGCACTTTCGCTAAAGCAGCGTAGGGTTTTCTTGGAGGAGATAGAGACACTGCGGGGCATCAGAGAGATCTTGGGTAGAGGAGGAAGGAGTTAGCAGGTACACAAAGGAAGGGGGTGGCACTTTCGCTAAGGCAGCGTAGGGTTTTCTTGGAGGAGATAGAGACCCTGCTGGACCTAGTTTGGGAGACCTAGTACGAGAGAGAGGTAGTGTGCACACATGAGCATGGCATGGCATGGCATGGCATGACGCGAATAATATGAAGGGCAACTGAAGTGTAGCCCAAAGCATAATACAGGGTTTCATGTAGAATCGTTGTAGATGAATGTTTGACAAGATGTGGGGTAGGTGCAGGGTTCTACTAGAGCATAGCCACTTTTCGTTTTGGGTTTTTCGATTTCGTTTATGAAGAACCTGCTTCTGGCCGAAGGTGTGTCAGACAATGTAGTGCTCGTTCCCTATTCCTTCCTTTTCTCTGTGTCTTTCTTTTGCATTTCAACATCAGTACAAATGGCTGTTTCTTGTGAGTGTGGTGGCTGAGTTTAGGTGACTTTTGGTTTTGGGAACTGGCTGAGTACTCTTCTTTTCGTTATCAGCAGTTGCGAGTGGTAGAGGGCCCAAAGACCGACCGATTCTTTCGGCACGCTGTGCAAGATGTCCGGATGTGTCAAGGAATGTGTCACAGAGAGTGTTTGCTTTGGAACGTTGCTGCACCGACTCTGTTTGTGTGCACATTCCCACTCTGTGACAGAGAGTTTGTGTGCACATCCCCCCTCTGTGACAGAGCGTTTGTGTGCACATTCTCCAAACACACACACAGAACTCAACACAAAGCCATGACTCAAGAGCTGAAAGTGATTCCCACTACACCAATTCACGAAAGAGTTGGACGAATCTTCGCCGCTTTTCCTCGACCGGAGGACTGATGTCTTGAGATTAACCTACAAGCCCAACATTGACGTTTAGCCTGTCAAATCTGGAATCTGTGTGTGTGGGTGGGGGTGTGGGTTGGTGTGGGTGTAGCATGTGTGTGTGTGTGTGTGTGGTGGTGGTGGGGAAGAGGGGGGGGGGGGGGGGGGGGGTGGGGGGGGGGGGGGGGGGGGGGGGGGGGGGGGGGGGGGGGGGGGGGGGGGGGGGGGGTATTGCAAATTCTTGCCATAACAACCCCCCTTTTCCGTCCAAATGAGGAGATCCCAAGGACCCAATTTGAAATGAGCTGCTTGTTCTTAGTTTATTCTGCATGCAAACTGTTTCCACAACAACTTTTTTTTGGGGGGGTCCACCCACAAAAAAAACGTGTGATAGTGATGAGTCATATGCAATTGTTTTTTGTGTATTTGCCGCCGTTATGCAGCTCTTTCTTTGGAATCGCTGAAACAGTTTGTCACAGCCCCTCGTTTGTTGTCCTCTTCTCCCTCTCTGCCTACGGTTTACCGGGCAGTTCTATTTGACGATATATTACATATATTCTTGCTGCTCCCTTTTTACTGAGCCTCTCACGTAAAACGCTTGCCACGTTGATTGTGGTTGAGCGCAAGTGGCCCACATCCCTATGCGTCTTAATGGCCCACTTGCACGCGGGCGAGTGACATCCCCATGTGCCTTAATGGCCCACTTGCACGCGGGCAAGTGGGCCATTTGTATGCATTGAACCTGGGCACCTGCGAAAAAAGCAGAGGGTCAGTCCTGTTCAGTATTCAGTTCGATTTCACTTTCTTATGTTGTTTCTTTTCTTAATGATGATTATTTGTATGCATTGAACCTGGGCACCTGCGGAAAAAGCTGAGGGTCAGTCGCATAAACCAACCAAGAACATGAACACAGTGGGAGGAAGAAGTTCTACATGAGAGGAGGGAGGGGGGAGGGAGGGAGGGAGGAAGGAGGGGAAGAAAAGGTGGGTGGGGAAGAGAAGGTGGGTGGGGTGAGGGTTCTCAGTCTTGACCACCTGAGCAGACTACTATGGAGTGGCAGTTGGTAGTTCCATCAAGGACCAGGGGGTGGGTCAGTGTCATTTGGAGGGGGGGGGAAACAGAGGTGGGGCGTTCAGCTGCACGAACGAGAGAGGCCGATCAGGCGCATTTGCACTGATGGCGGCTGCTAGTTGCGCAAATGCGGGACAGCTGGCTGCACCTCATATGTCTAGTGCACACACAAACAATCCTGCAGCAGTGCAAAAATCATTGCCACATTGTGGACAGCGGACTCAGTATGAAGTTACTATGAACTCTACCTGGCTTGCGTGTATTGGTGGGGGCAACGACATCATTCCGTAGGGTAACAAGCAAGGCGGCGGAACAGATCTCTGACTTCCTCCGAGGGCACAGCAATCATATTCTTCAGGGACCATGGGAATGAGGATAATGAAGGGGAGGAAGGGAGGAGGACGGTGAAGAAGGAGATGGAGACGAGGATGTTATAAAGGATGCTGCCGAAGGGACGGGGCAAGGGGGGGCGTAAGGGAGAAAACAGTGGGGATCGTGGGCAGCAGATGTGTAGTACTGCACTCAGCTAGACCATTTTGACTTCTTTCTTGTGGGTGGCCTGTCAAGGTTGGGCTGCGGTTGCTCTGTGTGTGTGTGTGTGTGTGTGTGTGTGTGTGTGTGTTAATCCAGTCGATATGAATCTGCTGTGGGGTCCACTTGACTCCACTAGTACGGTCATACATCAGGTCCAGGCATAACCAATCAACACTGTATATTGCTCACCTAATCCGTGCTCGTGCTCCAATTCTGCATTGCTGGACTGTGACGAGGAAAACCACTGAGCAACCACCGAGTAACGTCCGAGAATATAACAAGCAGCCAGGCAAAAAGCAGGAGGGCAAAACTGGCTAGGCAATATATAGGCAAACAGCCAGGCAAAAAGCAGCTAGGCAGCAGATAGGCTGGAGGGCATGGGGGAGGCGGGAGGGCAGGCAACACGTAAGCGCACAAAGCAGGGAAAAGATATCAAACAGCAGACGAAGAAACAGCCAGGCAACAAGCAGCAAACAGCAAGGCAAAGGTGGTGAGGCGACGTATAGGCTGGAAGGACAAGGGAGGCGGGAGGGAAGACAACATACGAAGTGCACAAGGCAGGGAAAATACAATAACCAGCAAACAAGGAAAATACAAGTAGCAGAAACTTGAAAATGGGAAAAAAGAACAAAAGCAAAAAACTGAATGATCATAAGATTGTTCTGTCCGACTTGCACTGACTCTTCAAGAGGCTGAACCCTGGATAGTCTGTGGAATCCACATATTTTGATGCTTTGGGTGATGAATCCTTTTTGACCCTTGTTGAAAGCAGACATTCTGCAGCACAAGCAGCAAAGCAAGGATGCAAGACAAGACGCAAAGCAAAGCAGCCAAACTAAAGATGAAGGCAAAGCAAGCAGATGACCAGCTAGGCAAGAGGGCAGAGAAAGCGCAAGTAAAACACAGCAGTCGAACTGCGCCACACACGAGCGCACCGCATGGAAAGCAGTAACGCAACAGCGCGGAGACACACAAGGCAACACTCTCCACTCTGGCAAGATAGGGAAACAAAACAGCTGCAAGGAAAGGCATGAACAGCAGGAAGCATAGCAAGGCAGAAAAGAACTTTGTGTTTAGAGATTCAAAAAAAGGGTAGTGCAAGGAATATGAGCGAGAGCGATGTACAGAAAACCAAGTTGCAAAAATCATGCAGAAGTCCAGATAGTCATGTAACAAGCAGAGAGCACAAATGCACCAAGATTCCATCTGCGAAACAATGGACTCGTGAGCCAATGTGCCCCCTCAGGCCACACCAACGCAGTATTCAACGTCGCTCCTACGGTGTGGTGCCCAGCGCCCAGCCTACTCTACTCATCCTATCTAGCCTATCTACATTCGTGCAACAGGCTCACTTCGACTTCAAAGACCAATGTACATGACATCAACACCAATGCCGACCTTCCACATACACCAGGTACGTATTCTCAACTCCCCTCATCACCCCTTGTCCACCCACACGTGCGCCGCCGCCTTGAAGACCACCGTCGCCTCCACCTGCCCGCGCCTCTGCAGCCCGGCTATGGCCGCTTGGCGGCCCGCTGCCCTGCAGTGCCCTACACCACTCAGCGCCCGCACGTGCCCCAGCGAGCATCAGTGCATGCAGACACTTGCGTGCTGTCGCAGCAGCGTGTCCACATTGCCTGCCTAGGCCAGAATGCTCTGGACTGGCTGGTCTACTCCCTGTATGGGAGATGATGATGCTGCTGAACTGTTTGGGCCTGGCTATGGAAGTTTCCAGCAGCTTCTGGTCGGGGCCCAGTGTGTGCACCCAGGCCCACGTCCACAGTTGAGGGTGCGCAGCTGCTTCTTCTGGAAGAGCCCAGGGTGAGGCCCAGGTTGCACTTCAACCAGCTGGCGTGCAGCAACTGTCAGAGACCCACTTTGGAAAAGGCTGAGATAAGGGCCTCTCGTGGATATTCAGGCCCGCCTTCACTTGGGGCGGGCACGAGGCTCGTTGGGGGCCACAGTCCAGAACATATGCATGTTGTGCCACAGTCCAGAACATATGCATGTTGTTTGGGGCCCCCTGAGGACATATTCCTCATAGTTCATTCTTCGAAAGTCCGTTGAGATGCTTCTATGCAGGTGCCTTCTTCTTCAAGTGTCTCTCATAGTCTGCCACAATCTAAGGTGCTGTCTCAATTAGTTCCTCCCTGGTGAACCATTGGTTTTCTTTTGGATCTGTATGATGCCTGAACCTGACCCGGGGGCAGCATTGATCTCCTTGATGGGAGCTGTTGTGTCTCAGTGAAAGGTGCAAGCTTTGAGGCGTGAAACACAGGGTAAGTGCGCAAGTGACGAGGGATTCGAATCACATACGAGGGACCATCCAACACACTGCCGACGATATCTAGGACTTCCCAAGGACCGAAGTATTGAGGCATTAGTTTCCTAGAGATGTCAATTTCCTGTCCTAGCTCACTAGACACGTTCCCCTACCTGAAATGTGGACCGTCGTCGATGTTTGTTCTCAGAAGCAATCATTGCTTCTTGAGATTCTGAATGTGTTCAACAGCTTGCTGCAGCAACTTCTCACACTGGATTTCAAATTCTATGGTTCCAGGAGTTGCAGCAGATCAATTTTCAGGCAGGAGGAAGTGTAGAGCAGATCTCCACCCCAGATGCAGCTGATTCAGACTGACTCCAGTGGTGTTGTGCACAACATTGTTGTACAGGCTGGCAATGAGAGGTAACCTCTCATCCCAATCATCTTGGTTGAGCTTAATGTAATGCCTCAAGCACATGCTCCACCACTCAGTTCATTTGTTCAACTTGCCCGTTGGCTTCGGGATGATTCCCATAAGTCTTCTAGAGTCGGTTGCCCATCTGTTCTGCAGCCTTCATCCACATTTCACTGGTGAAGAGGACATCTCTGTCATTAACGATAGTGGGGGGCATGCTTTAGGTGGGACTGTGTGCTCTTGAGAAAGGGGGTCAGAGGGTTGGTCCTATATTGGGGCTGAGGGATTGTGGGCGACTTACATCAGCGGAGGCAGTGTAGGGCTGAGGAGGAAGGGGGAGGGAAGGGAGGGGCGATCTCTCTCGAAAAATTCTAACATCCAGTTTACTATTTCTTTCCATTCGGTTTGCCTCCCGAGGAGGTTGTAGGAATAGGTGTTATCTGCCAAGTCATATGTGATCCTGCGAAGGGTGGTCGAAAATTCGGTCGCCCTCGAAGACCGATGCTGGAGCAACGCTGGCTGGAGCCGGAGCCAGGTGGCGCAACTTTGTGACTTAGCTTAGTGGGGGCGTAAGGGCTGGTAGAGAGATCTGGGGGGCTGTTTGTGGGGGCAGTCTTAGTGGTCATCGGGGGTCGTAACTGGAGCAATGTTGGCCGGTGCTGGCACAAGGTGGTGCAACTCTGTAACCTAACCTCATGGGAGCATGAGGCCTGGAAAAACTTCGGTTCATACTGAAAACAGCTATGCTGGTTGAGGGCGTAGGTG